GATCTACTGATTACCAAAACAAAATTGATTATTAAAGTTGACAAAACAATTACACCGTAGCTAATCACGTATTCTGAAAAGCAATTTCGATTAATCAAACTTTGAGAGTACATTGTCCTACTTTAACAAAATCGAATTATCGGTTATTCTGATTAATTATCGGTTATTCTGATTTGCAAAACTTATCAGTACGTACGTATCAACTAGTATCTTCTTACTTTATGTTTTCTATTTATTAGTTTGGCACGTTCTGTTTGTCGCACTCAGACAGCTCAACGATATTGTAGTTATTCTAAATAAATAAATTGTGACAGACAAGGAGTCTTGAATCGATTTACGATTTCTTCGGTAGGATTCCGAATTTCCTAAATGCGGCGTCTGTTATGAAAGGTGGTGTATTCTGCCGTTGCCCTATCCGAGGCAAATTGCCGAATTTGGTTGACATCGGAATTGTAATGCTCAGTCCTAAGCGCATTCGTGCAGAACGTTATTTACTATGTTATTGAAGTATATAATTATACAGCAGAATGCTGCACCATGTTGTTCAAAAGCAAACACAAATTCAATTCAAGTGCTGTATTCATCGAAATATCAATTTCGACAAGGTGGTCTTCAGGGAACGATATCCATTATCCACGTTTGAATTTTCGTTAAAAATCATAATCCACGAAACAATAAAATACCCGTTACAAAACTTATTTGGAGCCAATCGCAGCAATTTCAGTTCGGCGAATTATTAACAGAAAGAAAACAACTGTGAGAAATGGCTGAACCTAAATCCCTCTGGGCGCTCCCAGCGCACCTATGTTATATTCATATTCCATTTCAACTCGTGAAAAATACCGCAGAAAATATCTGAAACTGTCATATTTGAAGGAATTCGATTTGCGCGTTTCCATCATCTGAGTGCGTCTTGTTAACACAGGCTAACGGCTTCGAACAATACTCTGTGCGAGGCACGGATAAACTTTGGGACAGTATGAGATCAGCTGTACGATAACAAATAGAGATGAAACGGATAGTAGTTTGGCCGGATACCGGATACCGGATATCCGGCCAGCTGCTAGGCCGGATAGCCGGATATCCGGCGGCCGGATAGTTGGCCCATTGTCTCGTTGCATGTCGTGACGAGTTTAGCGCCGCACAGGTGCTTCGAACGCGATCATTGGGTCTATTAGTAGACTAGACTAGTCACACTTTTCGAAAATCGAATCAGTCCGAATAGAATGTCGGATTTTGCCACTTGTCTAGGGGGCAGATAAATTCGGGCGATTTCGGTTGCCTTCGTCAGTGTGTGATTCGTTTACTTGCTGCGTAATCTGACCGAACTGCATCATCATGACATCAGACCATCAGTGAAAATTGATCGCCTATTTTATTTGGCAATATTTTACTTAACATATGTGATAGCGCTACTATTAAATTGTTCCAGAAGATGACATCATAATTCATTTATTCCAAGTTGTTGTGTTAATGTTGATTCTCAATTTATTTAATTACACTTTTAACATGCTACAAGTGCATTCTATGTTTTTTTAAAGCTTCCTAATGTGTGTTTAATTATTGATTTATTTAATCATAGTTTAAAATTAAATATTATTAAAATTATTTCTTTACTCGAATCGCTATTTTGATAACGCAAGGGAAACGGAAGTAAGTACAAGGTGCACTATTCAATAATTATAAAATTACAAATCAATTATTTCATTGTTTTAAATATACTCAGTGATATTATAAAATAATTTCATTGTATAATTGTGTTACTTTAGTATTTTTATTCGTAAGTAATTTGATTTTATTTCAAAGTGATTTCATAATGTTTTAAAAAGTTGCAAATGTATTAATTAAATATAAAAAGTAGATTTAATATTAAGTTAAAATATTTTAACAATGTTTTAAAATAATTATTCATTTGTATGCAGTGTGATTGTTATCAATTTATTAATTTTAAAAATGGTGCTTTGGCTCGGATGTTACGTCACTTGATTGCGTCAGTCGGAGTAGTAGTGGGTGGCGCAGATCGGTGTGACGGGGCATTCAGTGTTAAACCACCGTTGAGTGAACAACTCAAATAAAGTGGTGTTATATTACGTCTGAGTTTTAATCATCACCAATTCACAATGGATGCTTCAACATATGTGGTGGCCAAAACAGTGAGGTCTAAAAGAAAAAATTAGATTCCTTACATCAAGGTGTATCTAAATCACCCCCATGTGTATAATACGATTTGGCTTAGTTTAGGAGATAGAGTTAATTTTGTGATATTTTAAAATTCTATGACCTATAGTCTTTTTCACGTAAGATGATCCGTATGGCCCGACGTATTAGCAAGCTGAAGTGGCAATGGGCAGGGCACATAGTACGCAGAACTGACGGCCGATGGGGCAGAAAGGTTCTGGAATGGAGGCCGCGTACCGGAAAACGCAGCGTGGGACGTCCACCTACAAGGTGGACCGACGACATCGTAAAGGTAGCAGGGAAGCGCTGGACGCAGGCCGCTACCAATCGATCAACATGGAAAGCATTGGGGGAGGCCTATGTTCAGCAGTGGACGTCCTGTGGCTGAAATGATGATGATGATGATGATGATCCGTATGACACTTCAAGGTTATCCATATTACGCATACTACATATGCAGAATATTTTTGAAAAAATATTTGTATTTTATTAGCAATATAATAAAAAAAATTAACTACTTGTCTTGAAATATATACTAAAATTGAGTCGATTGGTTAATATTTTAATTATACGATGTAAAAATATTTTTTATTTAATGTACGCAATGTGTGAAACGGAATAGATGTAGTGCTGGGGTATTTTGTTGTATAACAAAATTGATTATTTCCGCGGTTCATTAATCGATTGCAGTGAATACTTAGATTTATTAAAAACATCACAAAAATCAACTATATTTTTCGATTGTTGACTTTAAAAACGCATTGAAAATAATTTAATAGTTTTAATTTAAAGAAATAGAACCAGTACTTTTTAGGAATCATTTTTTTGAACACGAAGTCCATGGAATTTGAATATAATCAATAAAAATTGTTACAAAAATATTTGTAATGTAAAAAAACATGTTTTTTGTTAAATGACACCTATACAAAATATTTCTCTAAAAGTAGGTTTTAATAACTCTTAGAAAAAAATCGATAATTAAATCGCTTTGGTTTAGTGACATCTCTATAACTTTCAAACTCGAAACGCCATACGAATCATCTTACGTGAAAAAGACTATAGTAGGGTTTAAAATTTTTTATCTTTATTTTGGGTTGATTTTTCTCAGATTTCTTTTTTTTTACAGATTCGTTATTAATTGAAGATATTTGAAAAAATAATCACCTTCCTATCTTTCATGCAAGATACAAAAGTTTTGCTAGAAACATTAAAATTATGCTTTTAGCAGAACACTGTCAAACTTTCAACTTAAAAGTTTAAGTAAAAAAAATTACTTCCATAGGTCCAAAACCATTTCAAAAACTGCGCCGTTTCCTGAACATTCATAATAATACAAAAAACATGTACTTAATGGGCCACTATTTCCTGTAATCGCACCACTAAAGTAGTAAGTCGGAGATTCCGTTACATGTTTTTGACTTTCTTAGAGTGAATTAATATTGGGAATCCTATTATTTCGGAATAATATTTTTTTTACTTAAACTTTTAAGTAAAAATTTGTAAGTGTTCTGCTAAAAGCATAATTTTAATGTTTCTAGCAAAACTTTTGTATCTTGTATCAAAGATAGGAAGGTGATTATTTTTTTCAAATATCTGCAATTAATATCGAATCTCTCAAAAAAAAAGAAATCTGAGAATAATCAACCCAAAAATAAGTTTTAAAGCCTACGAGGCCATAGAATTTTAAAATATCACAAAATTAAATTATCTCCTAAACTAGTACTAGGGGGTGATTTAGATACACCTTGATGTAAGGAATCTAAATTTTTCTTTTAGGCCTCACTGTTTTGGCCACCGTGTATATTTACTATTTATGTATTCGTCATTAGAGTGAATAGCCCAGAAAAAGAACTGAATTAGTTTTTTTTAAAGGCCTTAATATTATGGCTTTTTGTAACTTTTTGGAATTTAAATAAAAACCGTCATTATTATAAGCCATTTTATTGATGTTTACCTCTAAGATTAAAGTATTTCATTTCATTAATAGGAAATTGTTGTAGTTTTTTAATATCCGGTATCCGGCCGGATAGTGAGTTACTATCCGGTATCCGGCCGGATAGTAAATTTAGGCCGGATATCCGGCCTACCGGATAGTTGCCGGATATCCGTTTCATCTCTAATAACAAACTCTATAACCATAATATTAGGTCGCAGATTTATTCGGTCTAACATCACCGAAGTGACTACGGGTGAATAATCATGCATGTAAATGGCATGCCTCCGGAACCGACATTACGCAGTTTGCCCTCGATTCGAGAGGAGTCAGGATGAATGGATTAGTAGAATCCGGAATTGATAATGTGTTTTATAATCCATATTTCGCGGCTTATCTTTGCACAGATTGGGACGGTCACAGCTGTTACTGAGAACAACAATGTAACTTTTGTAACAGTCAATTCTAATTGTAATTCTGTGATCTTTGCTAAGTTTTGCTAGACTTTGATCGCTTGTTAGTGTAAGCGTGTAAGAAAGTTAAAAAACGTAAACACTTTTTCTCCTTTCTCTTTTTTTCGAAATTAGTCTGGGCCCAAGCAATAATTTTTCAAGCTTATTACCTAAAATAAAGAGTTAGTACTTATAGCAAAATTCCGAAAAAAAAAACGGTAATTATTCCGGGTAAAACCGCTGGTAGTAGCTAATAGTCAATTTGTAGTTTACGTAAATTTAAAAATATTCTAGATACATTTTATCGTCTGTAGTTTTTTCGATAACATCTGTCCGATAAAACATCGTAAACAAACAGTCTAATCAAACAAGGACCTTGAATTAACGGAGAATTGAATCGAAGTGCATAATAAGTAGTATGTTTTGACGCGCTTAGCTCAGTCGCGCTAACGCCACCTGCTACGATGGACTTCCTCAACAAAGTGGTTGTGATCACGGGCGCAAGTTCCGGAATTGGGGCAGCCACCGCTGAATTGTTCTCTAAACAATCCGCAAGTTTAGTCCTCGTTGGCAGGAACGAAACTTCCTTGAAAGACGTCGCTGATAAATGCGAAACTGCTAAAGGTATCAAACCTCTTATTGTTAAAGCTGAGATGAGCAACGATAACGACGTGAAAAACATAGTTACAAAAACAATTGAAACGTTCGGAAGAATCGATGTCCTCGTCAATAATGCAGGGTTCGGAACCAAAGCTGGAATTCGTGATGGCATCGATGTGTACGACAGAATCATGGCAACAAATATGCGGGCGGTTTACCTCCTGACCAGTCTGGCTACGCCTCACCTTGTCAAAAGCAAAGGAAACGTCGTCAACGTTTCGAGTGTCGCCTCATTCCGAGTAATCAAGGACTTAGATTTCCTACCCTATTGTATCTCCAAGGCTGCCTTAGATCAATTCACTAAATGTGTCGCTGTGGAGCTAGCTAAGGATGGCGTTCGGGTGAATTCTGTGAATCCAGGCGCTACGAGAACCGCTTTTGTGCAAGCAGCTGGCTATACCAAGGAACAGTCAGATGAAATGTACAAAATAAGAAACAAAACGATGCCTTTAGGCAAAGTGGTCGAAAGTGTTGAAGTGGCAGATCTCATCATGTTTTTGGCAAGCGATCGTGCTCGGAGTATTACTGGTGCTACTCATGTCATTGATAACGGTGAAATTTTAGTTTAATGTGAAAAAAATAAGCTAGTTTGTAAATGAAAGTGTAAATTCTCTTTCCCCTTTCTGTGCTTATTTGTGCTCAATTGATGTGGTAGTAAAGTTCTACGAGGAAAATCTGCCTTCCATATTTTTCTGGTAACAAGATTGTAGCCTTCGAAATAAATAAACCGGACTGCGTGAGCAATAGACATTGTACTACAAGAATAAGAACGTACGAGTTCAAAGGCTATAGGGGCTAACATAAATAGGTCAGAGAGCTTAGCTAATATAGACCGTGTTCTTCGAGCCATTAGTCTTCATTTTGCATGCAGTGGATCTGATAGTGTGAGGCGCAAAGCAAAAGTTATGGTAAAGGCAAATGAAGACTGTATTTCTCTGGGAAAAGAGTTTTCTATAAAATTGTATGAATAAATTAAAATTGCTTATTGTTTTCATAACAACACAGTGTTTTGTATTTTGGCAAGAAAAGAGGTTTTTTTTTGTGAGGAAATTAATTATTTAGCTTATAACAAATTATTAACGATTATCTTGTTCTATCAATAGATTTCTAATTAAATTATAAAAACTTTAGTAGGTACTATCTTGAAACAATACCTTCCTTTATCTATTAAATAGTACATTGGTTTCATTATAACGGCAATTTAATTCAAATTATCAATGATCATCACTGATAAATAGATGGCGTAACCTTTATTTAATTGCAATATGAAACTGTATTTATTTACTTCTTTCACGATGAAAATAAATTAAACCCTTATATTCGTGAATAAGTACATTTATTAATAGGTAGTACGTATTATGTAACGATGTTACCTTAGCTTTAGCGTAGAAAAAACTTTATCATAGGCTTTAGTTTGATTAAAATTATTTATTTTTGTTGTTAGTTTATATAGTTTGTCATTGATCTTCGCTAATGGACCAAATTTTCCCTTTATATATAAATAAGATTCAACGCAAAATAAATTGTTTACGTTACGTCATCTACGTTTTAACTGATGAAGGTCGAGGTCAGTCTTTAAATCGATGACGACGTGACAATCGATAAACAATTTCCGTGCAATATTTTTTTAGTTAATTGACAATTAATTGATAATTACAAGAAACAAGGCAGCGCCGTTGAAAAAATATACTTTCAATTGCAAAAAGTACAATGATTTTAAGTGACAATGAGATTGATGTTTGGAAAAAACGCACAAGTTTGTGTAGGAATTTTTAATCATTAAGTTCTATGTCAAAATAACTTTACCAACTCATTAGAGTTTTACGTATTAACGTAGAATGAAAAATTAAGTTAAGTAAGAATTCTATGCAGTCGAAACCGATATTGAAGTGTCTAATTTTAAGAGCCTTGTAATTCTAAATATTCTTACGATAAAGCCCCGTTCCAGTACCTAGTTCGAGAGTTGGGCTCTCGTAGGTAAAACTCATAAATCTCATTTATTTTTGCAAATAGGCTTTTTTAAAGCACTTTTGCACGTCCCAGTTTTAACCCTACCACTGCTTCGGGACAGTAAATGGGCCAGTGCTGAGAAGAAGTAGCGCAAGAAACTCAGTCACTATTCAGGTGATTAATAAAACTCAAAATACAATAGTGAATTTGACAGATAAAAAACTGAATACTGAATACTAGGCTGCAAATATGCACCATCATTATTTGGATGGTTCATAAAGAACGTAAATAATTAAACGCACAAAATTCAGTACAGCCCTATGTGGGGAGTATGGAACGTGCGGGTCTCCGTCCTGGGAGGATTTGCGCCGTTCAGATTTTCCAATTTTTATTTGCGCTTGTAAGTGCTGACACCGACATTTTTGGAGAGGACATTATGTTGGTAATAGTGAGATTCGCTTACACGATAGAGTATGCTTTAAACAATTATTTTTAAAGGGTTTTCTTGTGCACGAAGGCTGTAGGATATGCAAAATGGTCCTACATTTTGAGATTTTTTTAGTATAGTGGCTCTAGCTTGGGACTCATTTTAGCTTTTAAAGGTTAAGTGAGAGTCGTAATCGTTATAAATTCAATTCCTTAATAGAGTCTTAACCACTCGATTTAAAACTTAAGTAGGTGTCTGCTGCCCGCTGAATGAAGCCTTTACGTAATAGAATATTATTTAAATAATATAAAAAAATAATTATTAACGAATTGTATCTTAAGAAATGTTTTTGTTTCTTAATAGATGCGTATTTGAATTTCAAATTATTAATTTTTACTGCAATTAAAATGATTTTTAGGTAGGGAAAGTATGTACAATAAAGAAAGCAAAATTGTATTCTCAAATACCTGCAAGGTTTTCATTTCTAGATACTTATCATTCAAATCAGCGTGGCCGTAAGTCAGAGTTAGTTATAGCAAGAAGTAGTATTCCATGAACCGGATCAAGATTTAGTGGATCCATTTGAAAAAACGTTCGCGGCAAACTGTCAAGGCGCCATCGACAATAATTAGTTGGAGTGTTGAGTGCGGAGGAAGCTCAAGATTGATGGCAACACCACAAAGGTCTGTCTGTGATAAATTACCCGATATTAGGTCATGATTTGGTGAGGGCATTTGCTTATCCGGACGACCTTCTTACGATTTTTTGCGGGGTCTGTGGTGCACGCGGAATGTGAATGGGGTGTTGTCATTCGATGACAAATGACTAGCGCGAAAATCGAACGATTTGAGGTGAAGGAACTGTTGTTTTATTGTCCGTGACGATCGTCATTTGTCAATTTTAATTAAACGGGCTTTGTAATGACGTATAAAAACAATTCTTTGGCACTTACCACATGGTAAACGGGAGATTTAAGACGCCAACCTATCTCACAAATAGTACCTACAATGACAAGTAAATGATGAATATCAAAGCAATCAACTTAAACCAAATGATGTTTGATTTTGCATCATTTCAAAGCAATAACGTCAGCCATAACTTACATGCTCACATGCTTAGATCTGCATGTGAGAATTCATTGACGCTGTATCGATTTAGAATCGAGTACCGCCAAACGACAATCGCCCTTAAACATTGAAGACAAGGGTTGAATCTACCCCCAGATGGTGCTCTCCTGGTACAGTTATTATGCAAATCATGCACTACGGAAGTGCCACGGCGTTGCCTAGTTTCCTTTACTTGAGAGGTAAATTATGATAAATGAAATTCAGCGATAGGTGTTCAAACGAAAACTCGGCAACAATTTTGAAGTGGGTTAGAAGTTCCTGTACAGATAAGGTTACATTTACTGGAAGAGAATATGGTTGAGATGTGGTGGGTGATTCGATTATACGTGTACTTGGCAGATAATGTTTTATTGAAATGATGCTTTTATCGTGTAGGTTACATCAACATCAAGTGACCTAATTTAGCAGCGAGTATTTTGTATGTTATGAAATTATTGAAGAAACATTTCGCGACTTTTGATCCCCTTCGAGATATCAATTGATAACTGAAAATTATACTTTTGCGCAATACATATTACGTTACGTTATGTGTCTAAATTTATACGGAAAATGATGTTGAGAAAACCTAATTATGAAAATGGAATAATATTTATTGCTTTTCTTCTTCACTAGTGATTTTGTTAAAAAGCAATAAGCTTTTAACATCCAATGTTAAATTCTTACAAAAACAATCATTTACATGCATGGCCAAAACCCTAATTACAATTCATTATGCCTTCCCTTTGTTCCAAGCCATTGGAGGGGCGCATGTCAAACGCCATTACCTCCACACAAGGCGTTCGTTTGCTGAAACCGTCCGAAATTTTGGCAGTGCCTACCCAGTGACACAGTTTGTGTTTCATCAAGCCCTGAAAGGGACTCCACGGCGCCATTCAAGGGAGAGGATGGGCAAACAACTGCAGATCACGTGTGTTTACGGACCCCTAATTTCATCCAATCACAGTCGAGATACGGTCCATTGAAAGCCACGTTGGCCAAACGCCAGCTTATAATAATTGCGGGCGAAGAATGGGAGATTGGATTGTTACTGGAGTCGTGCATGAGATATGGAAAAACTTAAGTTTAATTTTGATAATGCATTCATTTCATTATAAGATTTACTTTACTAATAATTTTATTACAATATTAACCTTCCTTAAGATTGTGAATTATGCATGTACTCCTCCTCCTATTCCACTCTATTTCAATGGTTTTTAGAACATGTTATTTAAAACGTAATTAAAATGTACTGTAATGTAAGGTTCTAAAATAAATGAATGCTTAACAAGTATCACATTCAATTGTTATTTCATTCTCAATCCAGAAAATGAAGCACACTTTAAATCTTAATTCAGGAACCTGATATAAATAATTTAGAATGATAACACTTTTATACTAATGTATTTTATATATACCTATGTCTTTACAACAAAATGTACTGGCGACTCTACATCGTACTGTTACTTCCAAAAATAAAGGGTAAGCCTTTCCCGGTACGAAACCGCAACGATGGCATCGCAAACACTCGCCCCGTATAAATATACTCAAATGTAAGTGTATATGTTACGGTCAAAGTGATAAATGTGAAAATTATGAATAATCGCCGGTTATTATGAATAATTACCGCATGATTTGGTAAATGTGATTAATATGAGGTCATTTATGTGTGTATAAAACTAAATAGGCACCTTAACCTATTTTTCACTTGAAATCAAAACATTATGTTATTGGCATCATGGAAAAGTAATATTATGCAAGAAAAATTCCAAACTCATTATGCCAAATTATATTAATATCTGATATCAAAACGTTCAAAAGTTTGGTTGTACACGAGCACGTACACAAGATGTTGTTCTCTTTTATGAAATTTGTTACCTACTAAGGTTGAATTATTAAATAATCACTGTTAATGTGATTAATTTATCACATTAACCGTAACATATACAGGGTGTTAGGTAAATGGGTATATGAGCCGACACTAACCCATGTTAACATGGTCATATAAATGGTATGGTGAAGTCAGAAAATTGATATCTTCATTTTAATTATTTTAATTTACATACAAATCGAGATTTTATAAAATTTATTTTGTATGAAAATTAAAAAAAATAAAATGATGATATCAAATTTCTGACTTCACCATACCATTTATATGCCCATGTTAACATGGGCTAGTGTCGGCTCATATACCCATTTACCTAACACCCTGTATACCTAAATACGGTAAAGTATCTGTAACAGAATTTTAACAAACTGCAGATTTTGTTTACGTAGAATTAAGTGTTAATTTCTGGATAATTACGAGTGCAATCAAGTTTAATAACCTTTAGAAACTGTCAATGTTTTGTTTCTAACAAATAAATCCAACACTGATACTGACACCGAGCTATCATGATCTAATTACTTGAATAACTAATCTTTAATATATGTGTTGAAATACCAGAACCCCATGCACATTACTCACCATGAGTTTTACTCATCATTATACACAATAATCACCTATACGTATGTCACGTGAA